GAGAAGAAATGGTTGGGGACAAATGGATGCTATTAAATTTATGAATCTTCAGAAGTATGAACAGCAGAACGTTTCTCTGAAAACCAGAAAATTTTGTTATTTTAAGGGAAAGTTTCCATTTAGGATACTGAGACTAACCAGCTAATTCTATTTACTCACTCTGTCCAAAGCCGGGTGGGTCAACTGAGGAACCTAACCAGGGCAGAGGAGGTGATGATGCAGGAGTCTGTCTGTCCGCCTTGCAGTAATCAGCCATCCAGGATGTCTTGGTTGTGTTGTATTGATCTGTGGGGGTCAGAGCGAGAGGATTTCTCAATCAAGGTACAAAGGCTCCTGCAAACACTTTCAAACTGATCATGACGTGACAAAGACTCACCGAGCAGAACTGAGGTGATGTTGACATCGAGCCTCTGCTTTGCTCGAACGCCGATCTTCAGACGTGGAGGGTGAAGGCGACCAGCTGCCTGTTGCTGCCATGACAGGAAGCAAGGCCAGGGCTCGATGAAAGGCTCCCAGCCTTAAAACATACAATGAGAAAAACACAATCTCTAAAAAAATCCAAATACATTTTGCTTCTGATTCCAACATTGTGTGGAAGGTTGGTACAACCTGGACAAGGGGTAGTGAAACACAAACCTTAGTTCAGTGAGAGTAAGTCATTACAGCCAAAGTAACTATGCCAATACTTTTTAAGGTCTTAAGTGTCAAAGAATTTGGAAAATGTTCTTGTTTTTGTAATTTTAAATAAGAATATTGGTAGAAAAAAGGGTGGTCCTCTATGCTGCTTAAAAACATCAGTGCTCCAACTAGAGATTGCGAGCCAACAGAACTGACAAAGACTCCTGGATAGGTGTTGAAATGTCTTCAAAAAAAAGCAACAAAAAAAAAACGAGCGAAGGTCCGGTTGCCTTCCAATTTAAGCCTGTTTGTGGCTTCTTCAAATTGCAGCTTTAGACTGAAGCTTATAAAGTTTCTTTCCCTGCACATAATGAAAATGTCACAGAAACCTTTAGCCTTCAGTAGCACTTTTCTGTAGAAACGCTGTCACTGAATCAGTGGCCCTGTGCTATCGTTCTGCTCTGTGTTCCTGCTGAAGTTGCACATAGTCGCTGCGTGCCCCACGTGCGTTTACACCAGGATAAACTTGTGCACCAGTTATTTAATAGAAATATTCCCAACACTGATAATAGTTCATAAAGCCAAATGACACACAGTGAAATTAGACGTAACTCTAGGATGTTAGGATTTAATTTATTGATATCAGATGTTAAATATGCACCACTTGGAGCTGCAATCTGAAATCTGCTGATCTCTCTCAATTAAAAAGCAAATATTCAAATTTAAATATATTTGCATATTTCCATTTTTTGGCCCTGATGCCGATACCTGGCTGTACAGTATTGGTACCGATACCATCTGTTTGAAATAGATATGTGTGTCTGTGCATATATGAAGAACTGCATACTAACTGGATGTAAAATAATTGCCAGTTGGCTTTGTCAAGCAGCTGCCTACCTTTATGGATCAGGAAAAAGACTAAAACAAAGTGGATCCAGTAGAACTTAGGATTGGGTGACAATAGTTGAATAAACTTTGGCTCTCAAAATGGTATCGGAGCCCTATTTATTGGTACTCGCCGATACCGATACCACCATTTTACTGCTGAAATGAGGCCCCGCTCGATACTGGTATTGGTATCGGTGCAACAATAATTATTTTATTATTTATATGGTATCCGGGGAAATTGAAGGAATGCACATTGTTGTGTTTATTTGTGTTTAAATTTGTATTTTTTTTCCTGCCCCCCCCCAACCATCTTCTTCAAAATCTAATATTCTGCTGCCAAGGAAATGTCAACCAACAGTTCTGAAAGTGAAAGAAAGAAAACGGACTTTGTGCTGCAGCAGTAATGTTTGAGTGACAGTCTGACAAACTGTCATTACATCATGGCATGAAGTTGACAGTCCATGCTGCTGTGGAAACAAGCCCTCAGTGTGGAGATATAGCAAATAAATAATTAAAATCACAGCTTGGGCCATGAATATGGAGGCCATTAATGAAGACACTCATCAAATTACATAAATTGTTCTTAATGTTTTTAATTCAAAATATCAATAATCTGTTTTTAAAACATTAAGAACCGATCAGTTGGCATTTTTATTAAAAGTTTTTAATATAACATCCTAAGTTGTGACTATGGTTGGAAAGTAAACATTAATCTGTAATTTGGTCCAATATGTTTTACAAGATTAGTCGTTTTAATATGGACTGTTCCACACATGTTGGCAATTACCTGACAACTCCCTGTTGTAGTAGTCTCCGGATAGAGTGAAGCTGGCGTTTCCTTCCTGGGTGGAGCCGATTCGCTGCAGCACATTTAGTCCTGCAATCAAAAGCAAGCTGTTTACATACAACCCGGTCACAGTTGATGTGTTTTATTATCAAGCTGAGTCAAGGGTGTTAACAAAAGAACATCCAGAAGAAAACCTAAAGATCTGCAGGCCTAACTTTCAGAGGTCAGAGTTCATGACAGACTGTCTTGAGCAGAATCTGTAGCTGCGCCTGCTGTCGGGGAGACTTACTAGAGAAGGTGAGCTCAGCCAGCGGGATGTCACAATCCAGGCAGTCGTCAATGAAACAGATGCAGACGCTGTCAGCTTTTACTTCTACTCCAGACAAAGGACAAGAGTGGCTGCTGGAGCCGGAGTCTGCTCTGCCTCTGGGATGTCCCGCCATGTTCTCTGAGTTTTCCAGCAACCAGGTGGCAGCCTGGTCCAGCTGACCTACAAGACACCAGGGGTAAAGGAGTCATGTTGTGTTTTCTGCAATGATGCTGAGAAACTATTCATTAGGAAGAGATGCCATCAGGGTTTTCTGGTAGATAACTCTTATTACTGAATCTCTTCTGCATTTCAGGCAACTATGACACTATGAATGAAATATCACACAAAATATTAGAATAATTTATTTATCTACACAATGTTTAGTGTTAGTAATGTATCTAAACTTCCAATCTGTTTTTTTAATTAATGTTCTAAGTTATTTGTTTTCATTTTTATGCTCTTACGACTAGAGACAAACCAGAGGCTACATCTGCTGCAGTGCATATCTACTCTAACTAGACCAGTCTTCTGGACCCAGATAGAAAAACTTACCTTTACACTGTTTAAGGGCTTTTGTGCAGTCTTCTTTTTTAAAGCCAAGGTTTTGTAAATGGCTAAGCTGGATTTCTAAAAAAAAAAAAAAAAATATGAAGAGAGGAAAAAAATACAGTGAATGCATATTAATTTTAGAAAAAGCTGTAAAGACATTCAAGATTAAAGATTAATTTCTCAGTCTTTGGGTCGAATCTGTCCGTACTGTACTTTAAAAACAACTAGACAAGATAAAGCTAACAATTTTGTGCATCTAACAGTTCATATATTGTTTTTGGCAGCGAGAGAGAAAAAAAGTTATGTGACCAACGGGAGCGAAAAGTAGTGATCATCTGTCCGAACCAGCTTTGGTTACAGCCGGGAGCATCAGAGAAGTCAAACCTGAACTCTACATTAAGCCGGGCATAAACTGTATGATTTTTTGCCCTTTTCGGGCCGATTCTCCAGTTGTGCTGGAATTTTTTTTTAGATCGAGCAAACTTTCAGCCTGATCGTGTGTCCTGCGTCGTGTAGTATACGGGGTGAAGGAGGGGCGATTAGCCTCTCATGACCACTAGAGACTGACATGTTTTCGGGAATCCCAGGGGTCACGGGATTCCCGTGGGATGGGAGTCAGAATTAGTAACGATCACGTGATTGGCACGGTACAGGATTAAACATTAACGGGAGCAGACGGGAGCGGGAGCAAACCAATAATAACTAAAAAAAAAACTAGGATCGATGCCAAAGAATAAAATAAAATAGAAAGAAAAAAAATCCAGTACTGGCGGCGCCATTTTGTAGTTTTTCTCCTTAAAGCCTACACTATAATGCGAGTCAAAAAAACAACATGACCCAAAAACCAACAGTGCTTCTGCTCTGAGTTTTTCACCCGCTCTCAAAAACAACAATGGAGGGACCAACAGTTACTACAGTTAGAAACAGGAAATTAACTGACCGTTCATAGAAATTCAGATTCAATGTATTGGCAGAAATCTTATTGAAGACAACAAGAATGGGAGTGGTGCAGGAGTGGGAGTCATTCTGAATGGGAGCGGGATGGGAGTGGGAGTAATTTCACCAGGAGTGGGACGGGACAGGATTTAGATTTCTACTCTGGCCCGGGATCGGGACGGGACACAAGTTTTTTCTGTGGGAGTGGGACGGGACAGGAGTGAAAATCCACTCCCGTGTCAGGCTCTCATGACCACCTCCCGATCAGGAACTGTAAGGACGGGAGAAAATCAAACATGTTTGAAATTCAGTCGGCCGTCGTGAGGTGTTGGTGGATAAATCCTTCTCCTGAAGCAGAGCAACAAGCCGAATTACCAGAACCTTTACTACTGCGCATGTGCAAACAAGGGAGTTCTTCTTCCAGATTGACGAGTCCGACCAGCGCCATCTTTTGGCGCTGAGTCCCACGTATGGTTGTTGTGCAGAGTGAGCAGGTAGATCGCATGAGTGCGTCGGGTCACACAGTGTGACAACATGCATCGTCAGTTGTGAACTTTTAAAACCTGCTGTTTCATTGTACAGATTAAGTTGTAGCTCTGGGAAAGATTGAAAATATCGCACAGTATATGCCTGGCTTTAGACACATTATAATATAAATTGAGAACATTTTTTTATAAACTTCTAAACACTCAGATAAAAAAAAAGTTTGGATCTTCTCAGGGAAAACTGGTCTCTACCCATGAGACTTTGAGTCTTCTGCCTGATACCATCTTTGGGTGGAAGGGTTGCATCAGTTGAATCAGGAGTAGCAGAGGGGGCTTTGGCAGCAGAGATGGACTTGGCGATGGATAAGAAAAGCTGGATGTCATTATAGGAGAGACGAATGTCCAGAGCAGGAAACTGTATCTGTAAAGATTCATAAGGTTTAGACAGACATCCTTAAACAAGCCTTAAACATCAAAACTGAGTCAGCACATCATCAACAAGAGGCTGCAGCTGTCAGGGAACAAAGCACTGACCTCCAGCAGCGGTGGGATGTCCTCAACATTAAAGGCATCCAGGAGACCTGAACTGCTTTGATATGTGGGACTGCCACACAGCTCCACCTGCACATTGACAGGGTCAATGATGGACAAGGCCGTCTCCTGCTCACTGCCAAGCCGACACGAGAACACCTGCAGGGGAAATATTGGAGTTGATTGAAAATTGGTATTAAGTCCTACAGTAGCGTGCAAGGTGCTGAAGTCACTGAGGAGAAACATTACCTCTATTCCTGCCAGACTTCCAGAGAAGGGCCGATCTGCCAAACGGGGCTTGTATGTGAGGACTGTGGTGCCTTTTAGAACTATAGCATTGGTGTCAAGACAGGACAGGTCCTCCACCACCACAAACTCTGTGCCTGGACAAAAAAATAAATGTTTGTAAAGGCAACCTGAAGAAGATCCCAAGAAAAAACAAGTTAATATTAAGGAGGAACCACTATGGTTCAAGTATGCAATTGATAAAAACTGCTGGAACACTATCGTCACTATGGACTCCATGGGTACCGAACCTGAAAGAAGGCCTCGCTTAAAAACCAACAGCTTGGAGATAGACTGGAATCTGCACTGAAAAGCCAAATGCCCCATAAAGAGAAAGATATAGTCAGACCTGATGAAGACTACGCTTAGCAGTGAACAAAAGTATGTTTAAAGGAGCAAAGGTGAAGACTTTCAAACCTTTGACAGCGCACTGACTGTCAGGTACATTAATAAAATATATACAAGGATCTAAAAGGGAGGAGTTCCTTAAATTCTTCTACCTCACCTTCGCTAGGAGCATAAAGCTTTCAAATTATTGCTCGTCCAACTACGGCAATGATCCCAGAAACACGCTACAACTGGTTTAGGGATGGGTAAAGAAGGCCAGGATTATACCCAAAGCTCCAACCGCATTCCAGTTAAAAACTGGTGGACTGTGTTTAATGGCATAATAACAGACAGATATAAAATAATTTGCTGTTCTGCTAGGAGGTTTAGTGAAATTTCCAGACAGAATGAAGCGACTAGATCGTTGATGGCCCAAAAAAAACTGTAGCTGCCATCAGAGTCAACTCATTTAAATATTCTAATATTTAGTTAAAAACAACAGTTAATACATACTAGAATTTAAAATAAAAGTTCAATCATAAATAAATAAATACATTTCAGTAAATTTATGTTTATGTACATTGGTTAAAAACCTCATTAAAATGTAAGGAGGAACCTATGTTTTTTGTTCCACATGTTTTTACTTGTATTTATTTGTGTAAACCTTTATATTTGTGTTGAGCTAATTTGGGTTTCTGTTTCCCTTCTTAGTTCTGACAGCATTTTTTGGGGGCTTTATAAGATGTGTCCACAATAAATGGCTGTTAAAATCAAAAACATTGAGCCTTTATTATCTCGAGAGGAGTAACAAAAACTGTCTGGCTAAGCTCCAACTTGGAATTAGACATTTGACCAAATGCTAATGGACTGTTTATTCTATATTTGAGCTTGTATGTGTGATTTTAACATCATATGGATTAGAACTTGCACATTAAATTAAAAAAAGGGACAAAAAGGCTAAAACTAAGATTAATGTAAGATTTATACACTTGAGAGAATGAAAAATCAATATTTGCACAAACTGCAGTTTAAAAAGTGAAAATGATGCTGTGGTTTCTTTGTTGTTGTTTTTTGTTACATCAGCAGATAAATAAATCTCTGGCATCAGGCCCCATTTAACACAGTACATAATTTTTTGGAGGCTCAGTGACCAAAAGGATCCACAGCACTCTCTAATCTGTTCTTCTCCTCACCCGTCACGTTAACCTTCACTTCCAGGCAGCGGTCCTGGGTCACCAACACTGTGGACCTCTTTGTGACCACTCCACGCTTCACAGTCTTCGGCATCACAGATCCAGCTGTGCTTGGGCTGGCGCTTGTATTACTTTGGCAGTTGGGCCGAATCTCTGCACTGTCTGATGGATGATCCGGCTGCAGCCGCAGGAAGTTTTGCACCAACTGCAGCCAGTCAAAGATCAGGAAGACCCTGAGGTTATTGAGGACCACTGTGAAGCTGGATGAGTCGCATGTAGATCTATGGAGAAAAACAACTTCAGTAAATAAATTATCCAGGACCCCTTTAAAGGCATCCATGTGCTTCTGTGAACGGTGTTACCTGTAGTGTAGTTCAAGCTGCAAGGATGCACGATTGCTGCCCGTTTTTGATGGCTGCAGAATGCAATCAAACACATTGCGACGGATTCCTTCAGTGCTTTTATTTGTTCCAGTGTATCTCGTATCATAAGCCAACAGAGAGTGAGACACCAGGTTCACTGATTTGGAGCCATCAGATAAACTCTCAAAGAGCACTTTGGATTTCATAGAGTCAAACCTGTGCAAAGCACATAAATTAGACACGCATTAAAATGGGCATACAGCATATTTACTTGGCTACTAAGACAAACTGCAACTGATTAATCAGGTATACTGAAATATCATGGGCTATAGCGCAAAATGTTGTTGCTAACAAAGGCATGGGTGGTGTGAAATGTCCTATAATTGTGGCAGTTTAACACTCCAGTGTTGCTTTAGCATTAACAGCAGTTAGAGAACAACGTATTTAGGTTATGAAGAGGCTGTAAGATTGTTTGTGTGAAACTCAGAAACTCCTAGGGGATGGGTTAAATGCAGAGAATAAACTTACTCAATATGAGAATATAGAGGGATATTTCCAATTTTTTATAACTATTTTAGCCGCTTTCTGCAATGATGAGGATTTATTCACGTTGGCATGCTGAATAAATGCTAATAAAACTAGAGGAGTGCGGCTAATAGCTATTAAAACACACAGGAGTGATCACATACTAAGCTTACAGCTTTTAACATTTGCCCTAGATAGTAATGCAGTTACATTATATTAAATCTGTCCAAACTTTCAGGCTCAATTTTCAAAAGTATTTTGTATATTTTTTGACCATTTTAATTGGAGAGAGGGAGGAATGGCAGAAGGACATGGTTAATTTTAATACACATTCCCTAAACCAAATAGTGGCTCACTTTGAGCAATTTAGGTCTGACTAAAAGATGAGGATAATGGAACAAAGGGTCAAACCAATGATAAATAAGTGTAGACACATAATATGTTCTTTAATGGAAGATCATTTAAGGGAAAATGACTCAATCTAGAACCTCATGCTGATCTGACCTGTTGCTTGTGGCTCTGTGGGGAGAAGCTCACCTGGCTAAGGAGTTTCTGTTTTCAGCAGATGTTGGGCTGTCCAGCAGTTCCAGGCTGACATCTGTCATGTCCACCAGGACAGACAGGTTGGTAAACACAGCTCCACTCAACACCGTCTAAAGAAAATGAGTAGGAGGGGATTAGATCATACATTTGAGGTTTTTCTCATGGAGCGACAGATATGTACCTGTTGACCTACAGTTTGACCTTCCTTCATGACCACATATTTAAATTAAATAAGAAAAGTATAGACAACAAGGCTGCAGTGAGATCATATTAGGAAACACATTTTGCATGTTAAAATTGAACAAATAAAAGAAAGCAGAGATGTCTGATTATAAGCATGGCTCCCCGATGCTCACATAGCTGCTGGGATCCTGCAGGTTATACGGCCGGAGGAACTCCTCTATGGGCTCGCCCAGGTTGTTCTCGAGTATCCCTCTGATCAGCTGGTAGTGCTTTTTATCCAGAGAGCAGTGCACTGATGAAAGGCTGCCATGGATGGACGTATCAGGCACTGCATGGCTCAGCTCCCTGACAACAACAGTCAGATATTGAGAGTATTGATTTTATGTATACACATGCTTATCTTTATCTTGTGGTGGCAGTGCTTTTATTTTATTTTATTTATTTTAATTTAATTTAGTTATTTTATCTTTTTGTGCAGCACTTTGGAAACCTTGTGTTTATTGAAATCGTGCTATATAAATAAAGTGGATTGGATTGGATTGTAAGACGGAGTTATTTTTGAAACTCCTTAATGAAGTTGACACTATTTGTGCCCCATACTGCCCAATGCTGTGTCAGCAGATGAAGATACAGTCATAATAAACACTTCAAAAGATGAAAATTGCGGTTAAATAAAGCTTAATAAAAGACTTAATGTTATTATGGCAGTAAAAGAGACCAAAGCTTACAAAAGGATACCAAAACCATGACCAGTAATACTAATTCATAAAATCTGCTACTGGGGCAATACTATAAGTCTAACCTAAAAAAAGGAGTGACACATAGTTTATCTGTGAAATGTACATACTTGTCCAGGTTGCGCTCCACCTTTAGCGTCAGGCGGCAGCAGTCCTTCAGAAGGTTTTCTCCAGTTCGGCGGACAGAGTAGGAAGGAAAGATTAGGTCCGATGGTTCAGGTTTACTAGCGCTGTCCCAAGGACGACAAGGCAGATGCTCTGCAGCAAAGATGTCCATCTCCTGCAGGTCCAGAGCCATGCAGTCCAATAGACACACATGGTCTTCTGAAGGGAGAGAAAGCCACCAGTTTATAATACAGAGTGCAGTAAAATAAATTCACCTATATGAGGAAAAGGATTTCTGCTTGAAACATCTTAGACAACTTTAAATTCTTTTTTAGCTTTAAGGGTACTCCAGCAGTCCTGAAACCATGCTGACCTGAACCCGTTGGGTCTTCCTCCTTCGGGACGTTCCCAGTGTGCAGAACTTTTGGTCTGCTGAGTGTGATTCCTGAGCTGGAGGGAGAACTTTTGGGTTTCTCCTGCTCATTACTTGTTCTCGCTGCTGCATTCCTGACACGCTCCTTCAAAGAAAACAAAACACTGTTCAATGCATGCACAGATGAGTCAGACATTTTTTTTTTTTTCAAACTGACTTATTACAAAGGAAGTTTAAATGATTCATCCCTCATCTTAAAGGATCTTTATCCATGCTGCTTTTAACAGATCTCAAACATTTAGCATGTTAACCCTACATAAGTTTTCCCTTCTGACAGATATTCAGATGACAGATGCTTAGTTGGACGCATAGTTTAACTTTCATCCATTCTTATCCAGACCTGAAAGGAAAAAATATGATATTCCAGACTTTTTAGCAGACTACACTTTTGTTTTAAATGTCATATAAGGAAAAAAAAAGGAAACACAAACCAGTTTAGGAGGGTTTAAGAGTTATTAGGAGTTAGGTGAAACAGATTTTCTGTGTTTCTGTTTTAGGTTGAAGGCTTTAACACCTGGATTGGCATGTTTTGAACTGAAGTAAGTACCACCACAGTCTGTAAGGTGCGATATGACTGTGATGGTGCGTCAGAACAGGCAACATTTGACAGAGATAAAAAGGTGTAGAGTTTTAATCTTCCAATCATGTGTTAAAGCCAGGTGGAAACAACAGAAAGGGGTCACGGCAATCTGATAAAAAAAATGCATTCAACACCACAGCAGAGGGTTGCAGCTGTACCTTGTAGCGGGACAGCTCCTTGTATGAGTGTCCATGCAGTATAATATTCTTAAAAACACACACACAAGGTTCATATGACAGGGATAACACAAACTAGGTGATCCTGATATCGTTGCCAGTTAATATATAACACTTCATTACCTGAACTCCCACATGACAGATCTATGTTACTGATCCAACCACTTAGAAAGCTGGAAGAACTGGATGAAGCAATTTACCATTTCACCATACATAGAGAGGCTTGGATTGTATTGCTATTTGGCTTAACCCAGAGCATATTTAGGTCCACTGATGTACATTTAAATTAAAGGAGAATTAACATTAGATAGACTTAAAAACTAAAGTAAATTTGAAGACAGTGGTTCAAAATCAAACAGAGTTTGAAAAAACAGGCCACTTGCTTTTTGCATCAGTAATCTGATTTATTGTGTTCTTCTTTGGAACCTTGCTTCCAAAACAAAGTTTCTCTAATTATAATAAATCTTCAAAAAAATGTGATGCACAGCAAAACTATCCACTGTTTTGTTGGTTGGAGACCTGAGCTGCTGAGGATGGGCATTAAGGTTTATGTCAGTTTAAGGCATTTTTATCTATAAATCGTAACTTTATGCAGAACTACTTTTGATGAGGCACATAAAAACAAACATGAGTAGCATGTATATCTATATGAATAAAGAAATAATGCTGCACCAGCTTCTAGGTTTTCAGGTTACTCTCTGAGTGAAACTAATGGGCACATGGGAATTACGCCACAATAAATCAGGGAACTTCAAGTAAGGACTAATATAATTCCTTTTTATATTAACCAATTTACATAAAGTACATTCAAATTAACCTTAAAACTAAGGGCTAAAAAAACAAAAACTGACAGGCTCTTTTATTGGGAAGTTCTCTGTGTTTTCATTGTTCCCTAAAATAGCCAGTTAATGTAAGATTTTAACATTAAACTAACCTTAAATAACTGCAAAATGAGACAAACGTGAATCTAATCACTGGTATAAAATGTAACAAGAATCATGCAAATTAGGTTTAATTGGATTGCTAAAGCAATAATATGTTATTTACAGAAACTTTTCTCAAAAAGTGTTAAAATCAGGTGTAACTGTATTCATTTAGCATTTGACCAAAATAAGCCCAAAAGAAAAGATGGTGGAAAACTGACACTTTTTATGGGTAAATTTGCAAAATTTCATTCAATGCATGAATGAATACAGAAAGGTTAGTTGAACGTCTGGATGCGGAGCGGCGTATTGGTGTCACAGCATCAGTGTGACTCACCAGAGAGGGGAAAAAGGCATGTGCCATGGTGAGTTTCTCTACCTTATCTCGAAGGGAAAAGGTTCCGTGAGCCCCAGCCGGCAGAAAGAGGTTCTGCACCTTCAGCTGACCCAGGTTGGCCACTATGACCCTCGGCGACCGAGAGCTCTCAGGGATGATTAGAACTGGAGCACCAGCATCAATGTCTAGGAGAACCCTGGAAGCCCTCTGGGGCTGATCACGCACCTTTAGAAATAAGAAGTGGAGCGTAACAAACCTTAAAGCTTAACAACGCCCAAAATACCCAGGATTATGTACAAGATTGGTTTGGAGCAGACAGCACTCACAGCCTGGCCCTCCATTGCAGCCCTCTGTCTGCCGAGGACGTCCTGTAGCTGGGTGAAATGCTGTATAAAGGCTACAACCTCAGCTTGGAAGCGTTGTGTGTGCACATATTGTACTGAGGCCATCTGCAAAGACACTTTGATATCACACTCCCGCTCCAGATCAGGATCAGGCTGGCCGTACCTTAATTAAACAAAACAAAGAAGGGAGTGAGATGCAAAACAGTTCCAGCAGAGCATTTGGCCCACTTATGGCCCATTTTTGTAGGCTGTACTTCAGTATGTTGAAAACAAGCGCCTCCCCTCCTCGTGTAGTGAAGCGTTCTCGGTACAGGTCCCCGTGTGGAGTCAGGTCACTCAGGGACAAACTTCCTAAACTACCTTGCATTCTCAGGTCACCATCTGCAATCATTTTAAAGAAAGGGACATCGTGAGTGAGGAAGTTACAGAAGTCACCTGATGTGGATGGTTTTTATACGTACCATGCATATCAACATGCGCAGATAATTTGGACACACTCGCTCTGGCAAGTTCATGGAGCTTCTTGTTTAGTATGAGAGTCAAAGCATGAACCTGAAAAAAGAATTAGAGTCAGCATCGGCACCAACACTAATTTCACAGCTGTTCCAGAAAAAGAAAAAAGTAGGAAGGAACAGTACCTCAAGTTTACTAGTTTATATAATAATATATACATTTACGCAGGATTTTACGGCCATATATCTATAATCCTTCAGAAGTTTATCACATCACAAAGGTCAAAATATGCCGTTAGATTTTCAGTGGCTGCTTATTGGAGCAGTGAGTAGCACTGCAACCTTGCAGCAAGAAGATCCAAGTTCAATTCCCGGCCCGGGGTCTTTCTGTGTGGAATATGCATGTTCTCCCTAAGCATGCGTGGGTCCTCTCTGGGTACTCCAGCTTCCTCCCACAGTCCAAAAACATGACTGTTGGGTTCATTGTTCTTAGGTGTGAGTGTGTGTGTGAGAATGGTGGTTTGTTCTGTTTGTCTCTGTGTTGCCCTGCGATGGAGTGGTGACCTGTAGGCTGTACCCTGCCTCTCCCCTGGAGATAGACACCAGCACCCCTTGCAACCCCACTTGGGATAAGCGTAACAGAAAATGGATGGATGGATTTTCTGTGATTTCAGATGTTAAGCTGCTATAACTCTGATAACATTCCGTACACACCAGTGTTTTTATAGCTAACACCACACTTCCCCTCCTAAATAGTAAACAGAGTCCACGTATGTGCAATAAATTTAATCACATTATAAATGTAGATGTTCGTCTCAGAGACAGAGGAGCCAAGCAGCCATGTCCGGGAGAAAAATGGAGATCAAAACAGGGTTAGTTTCTAAAACCCCTAAAGCTCTGTTCAATTCATCATCTGAACGTGGAGAGGGGGGAGGCCAACTGCAGATCTACCAAGACATGGACGTCCACCTACACTGACAAGAGAAGCAAAAGAGGCAACTAAGAAGTCCATGGTAACTTTGAAGGATATGCACAGATTCACAGCTCAGGTTTAAAACCATGATATGTTTCTTTGATTAAGACAAAACCTTTTTAAACCTTTGGATCTGCAATGATTTTTACATCCTTTCCTCCATCTAACTATTTTATTAGTTTCATAAAAAGGTTGCTAGCTTAAGTTTTTGTTCAGGAGTGAAAATAAAAAAAAAAGTAGATCTATTTTTGTACTGCCCTCCAGTACACTGATGTGATGATTTTGGCCTAAATGACAAAACGTTTAGTGACCATTGCCCTAAATGCATATCCCTACTGTGAGATATGGTGGTTGCACCGTCATTTTGTGAAGATCCTTTTTACCAGAAGGTACAGGGAATAGTTGAAGCAAAGATGGATGGAGCCAAATGCATGTATAAATGCAGCCCATCAGAAAAGCCAACTGAATGCCTACCTTCAGGTCCACCTTTGTGTTGACAGTTTGAGCCGTCTCCTCCTCGCTGATGTCTGGTTCAAACACAGAATGTCCTGGACATGGTTGGGGGGTTGTTGCCACCTTTACTGCGTGATTATTGGCTGTGGAGCCGATGCCAAAGAAGTCAAGAAAGACCACCCAGGTCTGGAGCGTGATCAAAATATCCAGGCAGTTAAAGTCTACGTCCACGCTTCGCCCCACACTGCCATAGCGTGATTTGAACTCTGGATGGTTTGAGTCCACCAGCAGAACATTTATATGAACTAATGAGTCATCAAAGTTCGAAGGGGGCTGAGGAGAGTTGGTGTGGCGTGTTGGAGAAGGAGGAGGGGTGTTGGGACAGTCTGGGTCCTTTTTAGATTTGCGGCTGCTAGACGGAGTGGTAGGATGCCTCTGGTAGGGCTGGAAGACGTTCTCCGTTTCCTTTATGTGGGCAGGAAGGGAGCGGGGCATGTCAGGGGAGAAAGCGTTGGACCTTGATGGGCAGCTTTGGGAAAGGTACTCTTTAGAAGTGAAGGATGAAGGCTTAGGGGCTCCATGAGACTTCATCAAGTGTTTGTATTTAGAATCGGGGTTCTGATCCAGGAGGTCTTCCATCAGCAGTGCACGCAGAGCCAGCTGCACTTCAAGTAACTGTGGATGATCTTTGGTAAAGTGGCCCTCCAGATCTTGGAAGCGCACACTGACCAGGCCCTGGGAACCTTGGGTGAGATCGCAATAGAGCTGGACCTGCAATTCTTCCACATGAAAGGTGACCTTCAGCTGAGTGAAAGAGGGAGGCTGGAGAACCGGTCTGTGAGACTGCAGAGATATAGGAGAAGAAAGGGACGAACGGGAGAAGGTGATAGTGGGAGGATCCCTTGCAAACAGACCACCTTGGGGGTCTGGGAAGCAGTGGGGTCGGACAGATGAGGGTGTTGGTGGAGGAGGAGTTGGCGGCTGGCTGGGCGTGGGATGCTGCTCCTCAATCAGGGACAAATTGTCCAGAGTCTGAAGAACTTGCTCATAGACAGGCTTGCACAGAAATACCTATCAAAACAAAAGAAACAATATTCCATCTTTATCAGAAACATCTAACATGCAGGGATGGTGAGTGAGAAATCAGCTGTGTCCTGGCCGTGGGTGGCAATAGGTAGTTTTGACTTGGAAAAATATATGCTGTTTATTTCGAGCAAAAAATAAAAAAACCCAAAACAAAATATACAGCTTAGATAAAAAGTAATGTTAATTCAATCTGAATTTATAGCTTTCAAAAATGATTAAAAGTGGTCAGAGAAACCTTTTTTACCTCCCGTACTCACATCAGACATCTGAACAAAAAAATAAATAAAATCTTCCCTACCCTTGCCATGTGTTACTAATCTTCTAAATTAATGGGAGGGTCTAAATTTTACCAAAGTAATCAAAACAATTACAAATATAAAAATTATAGTTCTTGGTTTCAAACCAACTTAAATATATTCTGTCAACAAAATAAAACATAACAGAAATCTAAAAGGAACTTATGAAAAAAATGTTTACATGAATGGCCACAACAAGCTAGAACCCCTAAAGAATGTCAGACTTTTAAGGATTTAGCAATATAATTAAGAAATCTGACTTTTTGACACAGAACACATGGATAATGGAGGGTTCCCATGTTAAAGCTCCAACATGTCTTCAGTCCATAAGTGATGCTACGTTCAGACCGTAAGCATCAGAGGAAGCTGCAGCAACTAGTTTACATGCAAAGTCAATGATTGACGCACATCAAGCTGCAAAAGGTCCCGCAGCACATTTGAGCAGCGCTTCTGAGCAGCCGAAGCAGTGCCTCATGAGCTTCTGAGCATCTGACGCACATGCTTCAGATGCAGTAGCTGCTGGAATTGGACAAATGTAACATTTGCTGCTCAACGCCCCACATCAACCAATCAGAGAAGCTGATCTGGGAGCTGGCAGGGAGATGGACACAGCACTGCTGATGCAGATCGCTATGATCACTCCTCTGAAGCAGTTTAACGCCTAAATTAAATTAAAACTTTAAGAACTGCCAGCAAAATATGTTTGGTTCTATTATTCTGGTGCCTGCAGTTTGGATTTCGTATGTTAAAAATGCCTTGCAGCCCCGAACAGTAGCGGAAAAACGTGAACAAAATACTGGGCCAGAGGCCGTCGTTAAATGGGATTCCTAGTGACAGCGCACCGCCGGTGTACGGGGGTCTGAGCGGCTCCGACAGTGAAATAATATTTGAAGGCAGGATGGTAATCTGGACAAACTGACTGCACAGAAGTTTTCAGGTAGACTTTCTCACTTAAAAATATATTAAAACTACTTTTTATCCACTTATAAAATATAGCTGCCATTGTAACAGGCAAAGAAAGGGTAGGCTAGCTGCGCCAAACGCGCATCAGACCCCCTTTTTCCACCGCGTAGAGATGCTTCAGCCGTGCGTCAAAACTAAACTTGCACAAGCATAAAAAATAAAGCAGCATGAGCGTTTTTGCTGCTCCTGCTGTGAACGGTCTGAACGTAGCCTGATGCCTCAAAGGTTGCCAGTGAAGGAGCAGCACGACGTGCTATGGGCCGGATTTATCAAGATCCAATTTTGCGTGCTGTAATTTGCGCTCGCAAACT